AAAAAAAAAAAAAAAAAAAAAGGAAAAAAAGAGGTTATAAAGATATAGTTGCCAAAAACTTCTTTGCTAGAGAGCAAAAATGTAGAAATTGCTTTTAAGCTAATTCTTTAAATTACTAGAGGAGAAAGTTGACTAGTTCAGACTGACTTACCCCATAAACCAGCTTCACAACTACTATACAGGCTATAAGCAGGTTTAGACTCTTCTTCCACCGCATAACTGGGAAACTGTAAAGAGCAAAAAACTATCAGCACAACGGAACATAGCAGAGCTAATATTTAGCAAACATGTCTAATTATAGAGGTGGTAATCAAGATAATATCAACTAAATTTTATTCTTGCTGAACTACAACTGCACATTAACAATGTTCACCAAATGAAATATAAACAATCAGCAAACAACAGCAGTAATCGAAAATCGAAAATTCGCCAGAAATTACTGTGAAGAAAATGGAACTGAATGCAACTTGGAACTTGACTGTCGCACATCTTTCTCGAAGAGACTAGAGTCAAGAAAAAAAAAAGATACGGAAAAAGCAAAGAACGTATTTGAATCTATCGCCTTTGACACCAGCTGCTTTTACCGCGTAACAAAAGTTTGACGACCAGAGATCAATTCATTCTTGCCGAGACCAAATTTTTTAAACGTTTTATCCATTAGTTTTTTTGATGCCAAACTTAAGCTTTCCGATAAACCTGAGACTTGGTTTGCCGAAAGAGTTAAAAAAACCTTGTAGTTTGTATATTGCCGGGAAAATATCAGCTGTTTAGCGAAATTTGGAGTTGATCTCCCTACTGAAAAAGGTTTTTTTTTTAAATGTATATTTGTATTGGAAGTTATAAATTGAAACTTTTGTTCTTTTTTTCCCAAAACTCAACAAGATAGAACTTTTTTATTTTGCTCTCTCCAATTCATTCTGGTACACTGCTTGATGATGTTATTGTAAGGGTACGTACAGAAATTCGGCCCTTCTTCGTTTTGTTCGGGTCATTTTGTAAGAAAATAAACGCTTTACATGTACTATCCAATGCTGTAACTGTATATTATAAATTAAAAAAAATTTTTCCCCCACTTGCTTTGTAACTTGTTTATCTACTCCGATTTTTGTAAAATTTTGTTTCATTTGAAAGTATAAGAAACACTAACAGTTTATTTATTTATTTATGTATTTTTAGAATCTTTTAAAGGAAACACGGAGGTTTCTTTTGCTTTAGTAACGGAATATGGTTATTGAACGTAATGCTGCCATCATACCAATTATTCGAGCCATCTTTTCAGAATATCGTCATGCAGACAGTGTGAGGTTTTTTTCTATGAAACTTTTATAGGTTAAATAGTTTTGTTCAGTATAATCGGTAAAATTACTGCTATCACAGTATATGGTAGTTGAAAGAATGAAAGTTTGTAACTGTTGCTGCATTTGCTTTACAGAATTGGATATCTGTTTAGTATTAGTTTTAGAATTTTTCAAGTACCAAACCGGTTGTAAAATTTATTATGGGTGAGTTACGCTATCATCGACTTACTCAGAGAGTTCTTTGTAAAGCACCAAATGAAATGGAACATTTAGCGTCTACATACCGACATTATCTTCAGAGCATCAGAAAACTTATTGAACTGGAGCAGAAATATCAGGTTTCATTTATTCTCGTCGCTGCATGAAAGAAATACAATCTCTTATACGTTTTAGCATGTATTTTGTCAGCTCATGCAACGTTGTTTTTTTTATTAATTCATCTGCACTAAATCCTTGTTCGTTCCTTTTTAAGATTGTAGTGTTAATTTAAGGAAATTTTTAGGGTGGTGAACGTTCTATTGAAGAAAGTGCACATCTGGTTGGATTAGAACTTCCCGAAACGAAGCAATAGTTTTACAAGTTTTATCTGTATTGTGCTGCATTTTATCTGATAAAAAGACTTTGTAGACGTAAGAAAAGGTTAGGCTCATTTTCTTTGCTTCTACATAATTTTTTTGTAAATAAGATATTTTCTGGGGGAAAAAAGAAGTGAGTTTATAGAGGTTTATTAAGGGTATTCCGTTCCGTAAACTCCTCAGATACTCTTAGGTTTCCATCGAGCACTTTCTTTGCATTCATTACCAAATTTTTGCTTCTATTAGTTTTGATTTGATATATATATATATATATATATATATATATATATATATTTTTATAGCAAAGAATATAGGTCTATATTTATATAGTTTGCTGGAAACTTTAGTATCAGTCGACATTTAGCATTAGTCCTGTAGCTTTTTGTGTAACAGACTTTTGTAGACCAGGAAAAGTGATTGTGAACGGTCTTGTGTGATATTTTCTTGATAGGTTCATGAACTAGAGATTAGTTTAACTAAGGGTTTTTTAGAAGTGCCTTTAATCCTTGAATCCTAATAAAAATTTCTTATTAATTAACTTGGGCAGCTACTTGCCAAAAGATTTGGCAATTCTCAAGCTGTCAATACAGAAATGACCAGAATGCATCACCGAAAAAGTTCAGAACTGAGATTACTTAATAAAAAAAAGCATTACTGTAATAGTTTTAACCAAAACCTCAAAAATTATAGATGTGTTTAAATACATTTTTGATAACATAACTAATATTTTAACACCTCAGTTTTTGATTACGTCGATTACCGATCTATAACAAATTTATTTCTGTTTCTGGTGCTGCTAAATTCTGTGATTCACTCAAAGCCGTCTTGACTGTCACAACCACTACTCCAGCGAATACGACTACCATAAAGAGGTGTATACCCGAACCCAATCGTTTCTCCATAATTATTAGAGGATTTCCCAAAGATATTGCTTTCTTGGGAAATCATCCCCTTGAAAATCATAAATTCACACAGCTATTTTTCTTTTTTCTTTTTGAGAAGTTTGTTGCTGCATCAAAGAAGGTAAAAAATGACGAGAAAGTCTAAATGGCTTAAAGTAAAATAACAGTAAAAAA